GATACAACTGGACTTGATACAACTGGACTTGATACAACTGGACTTGAGGCAAATAGCACGAAAATTGACGAGTCTCAAATTGAAGATGACAACGACGAAGCCGAGGTCGAGGCCGAAGCAGAAGTCGAAGCTGAACAAGAGCCCGATGAAGAAAAAGATGAAGGCGTCGAAACTACCAATGATAGCCACGTTATCACAGAAGCAGTTGAAGTAAGTCAGCGATATTTTCACAAATTTGTCGAGTTTGGGTAATACAATAATATTCTTTAAATCATAGGAAGTCCAGGAGCCAGTTATAACAGAAGTGGCTAGAAATACTCCAGATCCAATTGCAACACCAATTGCTAAGGAACAAACAAAAGCCGAGCTCAAGTCTGCCGATGCAAAACAAAGTCGAAGTGGTCGCGTTATCAAACGAACCAAGTAAGTCATTCATAGCTCGATTAAGAAAACACGATCAACTGAAGAAACATTAATTGTTTGAAAACTTTTTTTGAAACAGGTACCTCCTTGATGAACTCGAAGATTCACCACCAGTTCCGGTAAAGCGGAAACGACCATCGGAAAGTCTGGTCTCAGCCCCAAAGCTGTCCCGAAAGGTAAAATCAAAAACAAAATTAAAGATTTTATAAAAAAACTAAAATTCTTTTTTTTTTCATATGAATAGGTCGATGAAATTAGTGTTCCATCGGACAGTAGTAAGTATAAAACTTTATTCATAAAGAAGTGATTTCGCATAATATGTTCGAGAATACGTCTCTATAAAGTTCATAATGATTTTTGACATCAGAGCATCGAAATAACTAGAATGTTTAGTTGTGTGAAAGAATAATGAGTAAGAACGATTCGTTTATTTCAATTTAGATGATGGCGAAATAAAACAAGTCTCTCAAATCATAATGAACGAAGTGAATCTGTTGCAATATGATGTGGACATCAAATCAAGTTTACAGTTATCATCGGCTGACACGTGCCGTTGTATTTCGGTTTTGGAAAAATACAAGGGCTTGGAAGTGACCGCTTTGATGCTCAAGAAAAATCCACAAGTGGCTGAAACAATCAAGCGTCTTCGTCGATATGTTGGTAACACAAAAGAATGGAACTTTACAGATGAACAACGCATCGAATTTAATGAGAGAGCTACAAAAATCCGAAAATTGGCCGAAATTATTTACAAAAACTTCAAGGTAATAACATGGCCAATGAATTGAATTATTATATTGTGTTGCGAAAATGTAAAAAAAAAAAACAATTGGATCTATTATACCATAATACAAAGTATTCAATGAAACACCCTATTGTACATTAAATCAACTTAATTGATTTGTTTTTTCTTGGTTTCAGAAACTTTTTGCATTTTCACCACAAGTATCATTTTGGCAAGGATTCATGGAAGAAGTTCAAAGTTTCAAAGAGCAAACAAAATTACTTACTCATGAAGAATTGATTACGTTAACTGAAGATGTTCAACCAGGTATATCGGAGCATCTTTTTTCTCTCTAATAGCCTTTTCGATTAAATTTATTCGTTTAATTATATCATTTCAGCAGTCACTCAAAACATTGAAGTCAAAAACAGTATTAGAGTTTAAATATTTTGAAGTTGGAAGGCGGATTGAATCTTCCTGGTCAAAGAATTCCTGATCATTTTTGCCCTTGGATAGTGATTATAATTATAATTAATATAATTATTATATCAATTGAGTAGATTGGCGCGATACACTTACCTTATTAAGAATAACGTTTACAAACAAGAAAATGAAACACAGCGACAATTTTATCAGATATATTATAGTTATGAATTGCTTTTTTATGAAATATCAACCTATCTCAAGTAGAGAACTAGTACTAGGTCGCGCGCGCATTAACAAGGCAGCATGAATAAAATGTATCGAAATAAATAATGTTCAGCAATTTTATCTTTCATACAATATTCATATAAAATATTCAATTGGATTAAAAATGAATTAAAATAATAAAAGTTAATATTTTTCACAAGATATTCCAATTCAGAAGCAATAAAATACATAAATCATTTCAGTTGCAGTCTAATTTGATTTGATAAGCAAAGCAAACATGAAAATATCTGCCAAAAAAACTAAATAAAGCGAAAACAAGATGAAGAACTGTGACACAACGCAAAACATACTAATATATACGTTTACAATCGTGACCGTACATAAATAACATAATAATAAATAAATAAATATTCTTCATTGCGTACAATCGTGTGTCCATTTTTATAATGTTTATTTAAATATTTATAATTTCAACAATGATGATAAATCTCTCATGCAATGCAGTTATTCTTAAGATTAATAATAAATTAAGTGCGAGCAATATTGGGGAATAATTTATTGAACATGGGATTAAGAGCCAAATACCACATGGCCATTGTTTGATGAATCTTGTGCATAATGATTGGCTTCAGTTACATATTGTGGTTGTGCTTGAGGTGGCTGTGTTATACTGTTTGCATCGGCATTTGATTCGTCGGTTGCATTTGGCGATAGACCAAGCCAATTACTTATTAAAGCAATACCTTGTTCAGCTGACTCATTTACAGCAGCCAAAATATCTTCGGCCGTATATCCAGCTAATGAATCTGGACCTTCATTCTCTTCGCTCGTACTGTTTCCATCTTTTTCAGTCTCTTGTGGCTTTTGTTCGTTTATTATTTCAGTTGGTGATTGAATAATTTCCATGCCACGCGGCGACATTCGAAAACATCCAATTGGTAAGTCTAGTTGGGGTTCCTGGCACGGAATTAGAAGAGACAAATGGAAATTAATCGAAAGTATGGATAGCATATTTTCACAAATGGAAAAGTATTTCTTGAAAAATTACCCCCAAAAGCATTGGTTCCAAGCTCACACAACCTTTCATACCTATAGTAATCGAAAAAAATGTAATAAAAGAAAACAGAGAATTCATATATTTATATTTAGTTTAAGAATAAAGCAACGACAACAAATTTTGAAATCGCTTAAAAAAAAAATTCTAACGCAAATACAATTTTTTTTCAGTCAGGGCACAGAGTCACAGAGTTACTTATTTCATAGAGATATTTGAATTTTAATTTAAAACACTTTGTACATACCATCGTCGGTTGGCATCAGCCCTTTGAATCGTGCACACATTTGAGCCAGCTGGGCAAAAATGTTCAAACAAGTTGGTGGTGGATCTGGGCCTTTAACAACTTCATTATGCAGTAGACTCTCACCATAAGACACATTCAAAGCAATTCCTTCCTCAGGTGATAGATAGTTCAATCGTACACATCCTTACGAATTATAAAATATTGCGTCGTTTAATTCAAATGAATTTCAATGAAAATTAAGCACTTTTTTGAGCATTTTTTCTTTCAAGTTTTTCTATTTAAATCAAAAATATCACTCACCTGGACCGCCAAGATCGATAAATGAAATATTAAAATCTAAACAACAAATGCATGAAAGATCTTTACAAATACAATTTTTTGAACCAGCATCACTTTGTCGACTCTCCGAACCGGATATAAAATCTATTGAATACAAACATATATTATAAACTTGGAATAATATTTTCTTTTTTTTACGAAAAAAAAAATCTCTCTGTGATGCGAAAACGAAAACAAGTATCACAATATGTTGAATCACGCATTTTATGTTGCTATTGGTAGCAATAGATGGCAAAAGTCCTGTTATCATTCCAAACACTTACCAATTATACTGGCTGACATACATAACGCAATAATATTCGTTACTAAGATTGTCACAAGTATCTTCTTCATGTTTTTGATTTAATTTGAACGGTTAACTAGAATATTTTTCTCACAAATTATTTTAAAAGACACTTTGCAAAAAACCAGCGAGATTTTGAATTTATATTAATAAAAGTAAAACAGAAACAATCACAAACTTTCTTGAACGTTTTAACAGAACGCAAGTTCCATAACTTACTGAAATCGCTATGCGCATGTACAAACCCGATCTCGTTATAATCTTTCACTAATGGCTTGTACTACTTTTAAGTGACAAATGAAGATATTATGTGAATCGCTGAAGTATTTTATAATATGCATTTGCCTTACGCATCTCTCTCTCTTTCGCTGCGCATCTGTCGCTAACCTTTCCTTTTTTTATTATCTTCATTCTCTTTTCGTTATTATCGTTCGGTGTTGTATTTAGTTATTTTTTTTTCGATTGCTTTCTTTATGGTTCGTCGCGATTGATCTATTGAGCATCAGATGGTTTGGTGTTGGGGAAATGCAATGCGCGCGTGCACATTTAACATTTCACCAGAAGAAGTTAAAAGAGAGGAAAGAAGCAACACGAGCCATAAATTCAGTTACAAAGTTACATACAAACATATATACATATGTCGACAAAGGCATAAATATGGCATATATTTTCTTGTTGGCACGTTTGTATGAAATCAATATAAATTATGCGCTCGATTCTTGTGTCTACTTTGGCAATGACTTTTCAATGCGGAATTCAATGAAACACATTTGTATGCTATTTAAATCGTATCGCGATGGCTTGCAAATTTGCAATCACAAAAATTCAGCCGTTCTCTTACCTCATCCTCAAGTCATCCCACTTTAATTTCATGGTTGAAAAAAAGAAAAGAAAAAAAAATCATCAGAAAGCGGCATGCATATGCAAAATTATTTATTGGACGCTTTCTTCAACGCTATCAATTGTTTAATGCATGCGCATGATGGAGAAAGGCTTCTGAACTTTAGAAGTCTGATAATGAAAAAAAAAAATCTCGAAAATTCTTGTTTCTTTTTTGTTCCATTCTTTTCTCTCTTTTTCCCTTCAATTTTTTTTTTATTTCTTCGTGAGCAATTCGTACGAAAAAAAAGAGTGCTCAATTGGTCCAAGAACTGAACGAGAGGCTCGTAAATGGATCGTTAATCAATGATGTACAATAAAAGCGGTTTTTTTTTTTCACGAAAGCAACATATTTACGATCAAAACTTGTAGCGTCACTTGCATACATTATTTTATTTTATTTTAATCAAGAAATGAAGATCAAGTTTATTCTTGTACATAGTAAATCAGCTTATAGATATTCTGCATGCGCCTATAGGTTGGACATAAACGTGGAATTTGTTGATGGTTTATTTGAACGAACAACAAAACAAAACTAAACAAACAAACACTATTGAATATTGATCATGTTATTTTTGTCTTAAGCTGAATGACGCATGATCACATATCATCGTTTCGGGGAGAATCCGAAAAAGAAGATCAAAGCGGTTAAAGAAAGTAGTCACGAAAATAAATAACCAAATTTCGTAGAGATGTGTTGTAAATGAAAGGGAAATTGTTTGTATAGCGGGCCTTGTTTGGATTATACATGAGTGTTCCTCAATTTGGTGAATCAATAAATATAATTTCACTTTTGAATTCATTTAAATTTGAACAGATTTTTTTTTCGCTCACTCTCTCGTCATCCTCTTTCGACTCTCTTCGTATTTTATTTTCAATTTAAGATTTTGTCAAGCTGAGAGCAACAGAGATGGAAAATGAAAAGTGAAACGAATGGAAAATAATGAGAAACCGATCGAGTAAATAAATTGTGTTGTGGATACGCCAAAAAAATGTTTAAAATCAGTTTATTGATCCGACCACATTTCTATTTGCATTTCATATTTCACTCTTTCAAAATAAATACGATACACTCGATTCGATTTGGCCGGTTCGAATAATAAAACTTTTTAACAATCTCGTCACTTTTTCTTCGGAGAAATGAAAGACGCCATTGATACTTTTTTTTTGGTTTTAATTCACTTTATTGCTTTATTCGAGTAAATTGATAATGATTTTATACAGTTTCTTATAAATCGAACGATTTGTTTTTGATAGACTTTATTTTAGTTGAAAAATGCGCTTGGCTGCAATTTTTCCAATATAATATGTAGTTTTTTTGATATTTAAATTGAAAATGTCGATTAAAATAATAATAATAATAGTTGCGATTGCAAGTTGCCCATTGGCAACAAATTCGATTCGAAATAGAACTGAAATATTTTTTTACTTCGTTTTTTAACTGCACAATTGAATATTGGATTATTTCATTTAAAAAGACAAAATAATTAATCATAATTTTTAACGAATGGTCATCACAATTGATTCAAAACAAACAAATGGGAGAACTTTTTGAAAACAAACAGAAAAAAAAAAACAAAAAATTATAGTATACAATTTGCATTGACAAAATAAAATGATGACAATGATAATGAAGTCAACAATATAAATAAATAGGGTTTCATAAAACAACTGAAATTGTGTTAAACTGCTTCTTCTTTCAAACAAATGAAATTTCTTATGAACATTTCATGGTTATTCTCGTAAATATTATGTATGATCAACAAAGATACTGTTTTTTTTTGTGTGTGTGTGATATATATATTAGAAGAAATTAGACGTTAAATCTAGTTTCGGATCCATCGGCAAGCATGAGCGTTACTGTTCGATTATTGATCCAAATTAATTTGGCCAAGCGCATTGGATTCAAACGTGTTACATCTGGTATTGGTGCTGTTGAATAGCCTTTAATGCAGCGTGTTTGCGACTGGCCCAATCCAAACATACCTATTTAATGAAATAAAATTAATAAAATTGGCGTTATTTGAACGAATTCAAAGGAATATGTTAGACAATGTATACATTTTCAGTCATTCTTACCTGTACTAGTTTGCCAGAATGATAGGCGATTTTCTCCACATGAGTAGCTCACCAAAAATTTACCATCGGGACTGAATGCCAATGCTGTTATTGAATTCGAATGAGCCGGAATCATTTGACATTTATTTTGTCGTAGTTCATAAATTGCCAAATTTCCATTGCTTGCACCAACTAACAATAACACAAAAATATTTCATTAAATCTGTAAAAACAAAACAAAAAAACTTTCTAAAAAGAATAAAAACCAACCCGAAATACGTCTTGTAGCCGAACAATGTGAAATTTGATTGAATTTACAAATTGATGGGCAAACATCGTTGAGGCCTTTTGTTTTTAGATCGCTTGCGTCGACACAATGTAATGTTATGTCCATAACTTCAACCAATAAAGTAGCCATTTCGGTTTGCATTTTGTCAATTAACATCTCAACACACTGTAGAATCTCCTTTTTGGCTCGATACAACACGGACTGTGTCAGTGGAACACTTATTGTTTGGGCATTCTGTTGTAATGTATTGTAACGGGCCACTTCACGAGCCATTGTTGTTATGAATGCGGCTGGTCTTGCTGTCGCAATCAAACGCAATGCATGCCGTGCGGTTCGGCATGCATCAGCTTGAGGTGTTAGTGGTAATTTATAGTTTAAACTCGGCACCAAACGACTCGAATCACAGCATGTTTCAAGCAATCCAAGTAATACTTTGCTCACATCCAAGTATGGTTCCCATACGGTGAAACCACGTCCAATCAAATCAATTGCAGCACGACGAAGTGCTGTATGTGCTGGCAATTTAACGGTTGGCGGTGCAAGCAACAAATGTGTCAACGCCATCGATGTGAGACGGGCCAAATTATTATTACCAATGCCAAATCCTTCAACCACTGAACTCTTGCGCCGTTGATCTGAATGACGTTTTGTGCTGTTATTCGCTATTTTCGAGTGAAAAAAATGAAAAAAAAAAATTCAATGAAATTGAATGTATTCGAAATATGGGATACTTACTATCAGTTGAAATATCTTGACCAAATTCAGCACCAATGACACCCAATAAAACAACAGCTGTAGTTTGTTTGCGTTTCAATTCGGCCAAACTGGATGGCTTACGTACAATCTCCTCCTCTTCCTCTTCGAAGTCATCAGGCTATATAAAGTCGTATATTAATAAAAAATTATGTTGATGTTGATAGACAATAAAGTAATACGAACATTTGGCTCCTGAACTTGAGTTGTTGGTGCTCCAGTGATGCTTTGCTGTGATGCGCTCTGTGGTAATTGTTGTACAATTGGTTCAGTGTGCGTGTATAATGGTAAAAATTGTGCCCAACTTTCTACCAATTGTTTGCGACCTTTCTTTCCCATCCGGCCCAATTCACCAAGCAAAATTTGTTGGGCCGCTTCACGTATCTCAATACAATGATGCTGCCAACGTCTGGCCATCATTTCAACTTGAGGACGTTTGAAATTATGTGGTTCTACAATAATGGAATTAAGGTATTTCATTGAAAATTCATTCATTAAACAAATTAAATTGAAAAATTAATTGTGGACTCACCAATTTGATCGATTTTATCGGGTAACAAGAAGCAATGGTGTGTTGATAAAAGGCTCCATCCCTGTTTTATTTGAGCTTGTTGTTGTGTGAATAGTTCTTCGTGCTCCTCCGTTGACCATGCAGCTGATCCAGGTCGATTTGAATGTCGATGCAGTTTTTTATTACGTTCGTGTTCCGGTATGAATGTGGCCAATTGCATTGACATTAATGTGTTGGACATTGCCACCATAGCCAATAGATGGTTTGATGTTATCGTTGTGCTTAATTCCCAATGTAAACGTGCCGTAAATATTCGTGTTAAATTTTCTTGGCGAATAAGTTCGGGTGTGAGCTCTTTGTTTATTTGAATGTCATCTGGAATTTTTGTTGTATCCACAACCAAATCATTTTGCCATGTTGGTAACAATAGTGACATGTAACCACCTTTCGATAAAACACCAAATGATACCGGAATCTAAAAGTTCATAGATTCGCAAATTGAATGATGGACACTTTTCTTTTTCGAGTTTTTATTTTGTGATTTTTCTCTGAGTCAAATCAATGGCATTGAAATTACCTGTGGCCGTAATAGACCCAATTGTGTTTCGCAAACTTTATCCAAATGTAAATCGATGCCCCATGAATGAATTAACGATAATAATAGCTGTGCAACTTCCATAACATGGGTTGCTTCCATTCGTGGCGATAGTTTTTTGAATACATCCGCACCATCTGCAAGAAGAAAAAACCCATTGGAAATTAACTGTTAATTTATTTGCCAAACGAAAGTTACAATTAAGTGTTTTTTATTTAAATAGATTAATTTAAAGTCCATTGTAATTACTAATCAGGTAAATTGTTATATGTTCAATCATTTCGATGTTCGATATATGAATCTTAATTGACATTCAATGTACTTAAACGAGTTACGTGCGTCTTTTTCTGTGAAGTTTTATGTTCAAGATGAAATGTAATGAACCAGTTTTAATAAGTGAACAACAATGCGTACGAAATGAAAAAAAAAAACAACGAAGAAGAATTAATCGATTCAAAGCTATTTCGCAGAGAGCAAAGATGTAATCAATTGGCATTGCGGCGTCATTTAACAAAATGTATCACATTCATCTTCTTTTTCGTGAAATCTTCATCCCCACCTTCAATCATATCAATCAATGTGCATACAACAAATCGGCCAGTTATTTTCGTTATTTTTTTTATTCTCGTTTTGATTTCCAGTCAATACTAACGATTTCCTGAAATAAATTATTAATGACACGGCTGATCCGAGAATAAAGTGCAACATACGAGTTTTTGTTTTTTTTTTAGTGCCGAAAATGCCGACTTAGAGCAAGAGAAAAAAGCGAACATACACACATCTAATAAAAAGGTGAACATTTAAATGTGACAAAACCAACAACTCGAACCTGGTATGAGCAAACATGACTTGATCTAAGCATAAATTGTCCATCATATAATTGTTATCCTGACAAAGAAGAGCAATATAACCAATGAAAGAAGAAACTTGTTTTTCATATTAAAAACCATGCTAAGATCGAATGCGAAATGTTCGATTTATTGGCTATTTTCTGTTGTTAAACGTCCTGTGATACTGGCAAACAACTTTCAATTAAAACTTCAGCTTATATACAGAACTCTTTAATCGATTCGATCAATTAAAATCCTTTAAAATATTTTTATATGAACATACTGCGTATCATTTACTATTTGACAGAGAGCCGCTTTTAACTGCCGCACATAAAATTGAAACAAAAATATCAAATTATATCAACAAAAAAAGAATTTATAGGTAATTCACGAAACATATCGAAAGACGACAAATTATTTGTCAAATTTTATGGCCAATATTCATAAAATCTCAATGGGGTCCTACGTTGGGTCCGGTTGATTTGGTCGATTATCGCGATTGCAGATGTGCTTCAAGCTAGGCTTCAAGGCATATAAATAATAACATAAATGACGACATTCGATTTGATACAGTAACAACGAATACACAGTTAAATGGGCGAACGCATTTATAATGAGCGGTTTTTTTTCTTCTTTAGTGATGCACATTCACACACACACAAACACACATGCTGTCCCTTCCAAAAGGTGTGAATCCACATAAATAACAAAACGGAACATTTTGTACAGCAATATTTTCGATCACCTTGAACTTTACAAAATAAAAATAGTCAGTCATAGCCAATGTAATGACAGTAATGGAGCACACAACATAGCTTTTTCGTCTTCACATTGGCATACAAGCATTTCGACAATTTTAATGCATTTTTATTGTTTGTAGTTTCATTACACTCGCATGAAATTCCAAAGGGTGTATAATTAGAAGTTTTTAAATATATATGTCCGAAACTTTGTGAGTCTAAAAAGTGCAAATTGATGAGAATACTTGGATTAACGTTTGAAAATTGATTTGATTATAAAAACCCAATTTGAGATTTTTATTTTGTTAAAACGTAAAATCAATTTAATTCATGATTTAGTCGCATGATCGCAATGTATAAAAATCCTCTTCATAAATAGAAGGCGCATTGTCACAAGTTTCTTCGTATTTTATGACACCCTGTATCGAAGTGAAGACACTAAGATGCAACAAGAAATCATATGTTATTGCATTCTTTTTTTCTTTAATGTGAATGTAACTTTTAAATTCTTTCTAGTTGTTCCATTTACCGTGTGTGTAAAGGTATCATCATAACTAGACATAAACAAACCGCTTTTCAATGCATATGCAGACAATCGACAACGACGACGAAACCAACAACAAGAAAAACCAAAATAATTTGAGCAAAAATGTTGCGTCCCTTTCATCACCGCCTCTCAATCCACCGTCCGGCGATATCAATGTAAACTATTGAACATATACAGTTTCTGTTGGTTGATAAATCGTATCGCTTGTTGATCCCATGTATCTCGTCTTACGTTCGTGATCGCACAAATGCGATATATAAAATATCCAATGGAGAAGATTTATCGAAAAGGAAATAACAAATGGAACTTAATGAAAATAAGAGCAAGTTAAATGTTAGCGAATTGAAATGCGAAACTAGTATTTTATTTGTATACTATGTTTTATACGAGAAGAGAAGAGTAAATGGTTGTTCCCACAAAAAAAAAGAAATCGAATGGAATCATCCCAACCAAAAAGAATGACGATATGTTCTTGATGAACACGCAACGAACACGACCAAAGATAAAAAAAAGAATATGAAATAGGCGAACGATGTAAAATGCATCGCAAATGAAGATGTGACAACAGCATCTGCTATTAAGTATAAAAGGTTCTAGGTTTTTGCAAAATCATCACAGTTTCATTCTAAAGCTTGTGCTGAATCGTTCATATCTGAGCAGTTTTTTATCTTCTTCGATTATAAAAGTTAATCATGAGAGTTTTGGTAATTGTTCATTCCAATGAATCGAATTAATTTTATTTCAATTGTATTTTATTTTTCTTTGATGAAAATAGCTTATATTATCATTGATTGGTGTGGCGTGTGCCGAGAATGCATTTTTGGCTCCAGCTCCATTGGCCTATTCGTCGTTGATTGTAGACGAACCAAAGCCAAGCTATGAATACAGCACCTCTGTACAAACACCATCATACAACAACTATGCACACGTACGCTCTGGCGGAAATTTTGAGCGAAAAATTTACAATTTTGGCGCTCCATCATTTGCTGCGCCAGCATTTGCAGCCCCAGCATTGGCCGCAGAACCAATTTTGGCCGAAGCGAAATTCATACAACCCGTACGTATTTCTTGGAATATTTTCCGTCGTTTATTATCAGTTAGTAGTAGATTCGCATTACAAGCAGGTAATTTTGCATTCCAGGCAATTGCACAACCGATCCTTAAAGCAGCTCCGTTAAGCACTGAACTCCGTACAATTGCCGCGGCACCAGCCTATGCTATTCCCACCACTAAATTGTTACCAATTGCTTATGAAACAAAACCATTCTATCGATTTGCTGCTGCACCAGCTGCCGCTCAAATTTTAAGCGTTGAAAATAAATTTATTGGCGAAGGAAAATCACAATATCATTCACAAAATGAATTGGGCGAAGCGACTTATGGACACCGTGAACCATTCCAATCGCATGATGCTGTTCAAGATGCACAAGGTAACAAGGCTGGTTCGTTCTCTTATGTTGCACCCGACGGTCGATTGTTGACCACCGAATATATTGCCGATCAAGCTGGCTATCGTGTTGCATCAAATGCATTACCAAATGCACCAAATGGCGCCCTAGCATCGGCCGCTATTCAACCAATCATTGCAGCCGTTGAAAAACCAGCCGAATTTAACGATGCCGAAGGTATCGTTGTTGAGGTAATCAAAAATTAACCCATGTGGTGCGTGTATTTGTTTTTAATTTGAATGAAATGTTTTAGGCAAAATCACGAAGTCGCCGTTCAGTGGCCATTGCTCCAGCCATTGCTCCAGCCATCGCTCCAGCACCTTCAGCCTACTCATACAGTCCACTTGCTTATTCAGCATACTCCTATCCAATCTCGAGCTTATCATATTCAGCACCAGCAGCATATTCAGCCCAAGCAGCATATTCAGCACCAGCAGCATACTCTTCATTGTACTACAATGCACCACTCTATCGTTCATACGCTTATCCATCATACCCAGCTGTATACAGCTACGCATTACGAAAATAGATAAAAACCGACTGAACACCAATTCACTCATCATAACATAACAATGGATTATCTTTTTTCTTTAAATCGAAATTCCCATGTTAATGACTATTAAAATGCAACTGTGTTTTTAAGACAATTTCGAAATCGAAATAAATGAATAAATTCATACAAGAAATCAAAAACATGAACGAATTTGGTTTTTCTAAGCGAAACAGTGTGACCAAACGAAACGAAACGATCGTTTTGCATACCTTTGTCACCTTCATTGGCGGTCTTCAAACTTTCAACTTTCGCCTGAATTTTGAGTTCAACTTTTTCAGCGCCTTCCTTCATTTTTTGCAAAATTCCTGCAATTTATGAATTTCAATTTGTTTTTAGAATTTTCAGGGCGATATTCAAAGACTACCAAATAAAACGAAAAAAAAAACAAGCAAATTTCAATGACTACCAAAGTAAAAAAGAAAAGAAGACGTAAATCGATTACAAACATAAGAATCAACACTTGCAGAACAAAATATGAATTATAGCACTGAAGTAATTAGCGCATGCAAAAAAAAACCATGGAATATCACATATGCAAAAAAAAGGTAGCGTATGTAACAAAATTAACTAAATAACTAAAAATATCATTGGTGAAGACATCATAAATAAATATGTGCTGAAAATATCTGGATGGAGACAAATCTAAATAACGTTTACACACCAAACGATTAAATTAAATTGATTAAATGCATTTAACTAATAAAAATAATTCGATTCAAAAACAACTCCATAATTCTAAATAAACAAAAAAAAAATCAAATCAAGTGTGAGAGCTATAAAACAATGTTACTTTGTTTGTTGTTAAAAAGCCAACCAAATGCAAGAGAAACCAAAATGCAATGAATGTGTAAAATGAGCAAAATCAATTTAAACCAAAATGTGGTACAAAAAGTGGCTATATTTGCGAAAACAAAACCGAAACTCTATGAAAAGCAATTTGCCAATCAAATTTAAAAAAAAGGTATATATTCGAACCATGTTTGTCTTTTTCTTTGAGAATTTTTTCCATGTCGCCGGCTTTGTTTTTAACTCGTCCAAAGAAATCTTTCAATTGAAAAAAAAAAACCAAAATTTTTTTTTTTTCAATTATTAAATATATCACAAATGGATTTTTATCATAGAAATGTTATTGGATTTTTAATTTGTAAATTATTAATTTGGTGGATGGAGGAAATGTGTGTGTGCTTTGTTTTGCTTTAGTTTAAACATTTTTTTTAACCAAATCTTTTGTTATTCAAAACAAAACTGATATCACAACCATTTATACGAATGATTTTTGTCAGAAAAAAGAAACGATTACATATCGATTAGGTAATTGCTCAAATTTTCACAAGTTGACTAATAAAATGTTGTACTGTGAATGGAGCATTAACGTAAACATACAGAAGTCAAACTTACCGGATATCTTTTTACTAGCATCATTATGTTGAGATGGTCCAGCTGTTGATGTTATTAGTCCCAGTGCCTATTTGTATGAAAACCAAGTAAATTTTAAAAACCATCATCTCTGCACAGAAATCTTGAATAAATTACTTCTAATGTGGTCGAGCTCATTGCAGCATATTCTTCGCTGTGTAACTCAAAAATCAAGCCTTCAATATCAAAGAATAGGATATGACTTTCCGCATCTTAATAACGTTAAAAAGAAATGTAATTAGTTTTCATCTCACTCAATTTTAATAAGTAAAATATTGTTGTCTTACCTTTTGGATTCGTGCGTAAGCCTTGAATCGTTAATGGGCTGCTTCGATTTTTCATCAAGAAAATATTGTCGGAATTATTGTGTGCGTGTAGTTGTTGTAATTGATTGATGCCTCTTTGTGTTGCATGTCGAATGGCATTCAAATTACGATGACGAAGACCACGGAAGAAATGAACAGCCGGATTAGCTAAGCCCATTTCTGATGTTGAACCATGTGGTGATGCATCTGTTGCGTTTTCATCACAAGCCGATAACACTTCTTCGGCAAGCATACCTTATATACAAATAAAAAAATATTATAGCAAAACAAAAATCCAATTATACAGCATTTAATGTGAGAAACTTACCATGTAAAACGCGATCGAGGTGTCCAGTTTCCATTTGCCATACATAAACAGTTCCATCCGAACAGCCAACAATTAAGAAATCATCCAATGGACGCCATTTTATACTGACCACTGGGAATAAATGTCTGGTGATGTGCAAAAAAAAAAAAAAAAAAAATTCATTTAGACAAAATGAAAAGTGCGAAAAATGTGTTCTTTATATTAAACTCACCGACTGGCCAAACATATGCATTTCCGTTCAGTTAAACTCAACAAAGTGACCGAATGATCTGAAGCAACTGAACAGATGCTTTTCTGAACGCGTGGCTGTAAAATAACATAATTATTTAAAGATTTGTTTATCGCCAATGAACTACTTCATTACTTACACTACACGAATTCGGTGGAACTAAAAGCTGAGTGATTTCGCCAGCATGAACACAGAAACGGTGTAATAGTGTTCCGCTATACAAATCCCAGAGACATACAGCAAAGTCAACACCACCCGACAATAAATGCGATTTATCGTATCGCGGATGAGCTAACGATGGACATAATAAACAATTGACTCGACCTCGATGCGCTGACAATATTTGATGTGATGGCCAATCTATAATGGCATTTATTAATTATATTAAAGTTGTTGCTCATTTTCGTTAACATTTCGATGATTTTCCTTACCGGCATAATTTATTTGATTCACATGAAGCAATTGCAACATAACTGTTTGTGTTGCTGGAACGATAATGATGGAACCATCCTGACGACCAACAACCAAGCGACTTTGTTGCGGTAAATAAATACTCGCTGTTAATTTAACTGATGGCTCATTTGGTGAGTTTAATTGATCAAGAATTCCGACTGGTGGCGGTTTCATTAAACTCCATGCATCACTTAGGCTCGTACATATCGTTGGAGTTAAAGCTAATTTCAAATATAACGAAAATATGATATGAAAAGTGAAAAGTGAAAATGTATGCAAAGAATTAGAGAAAGTGCATACTTTTAATAGTGTTTCTATCCTGAATTTGCTTGACTTCTTCAATTGTAATATCGGGCACATTCCATAATGTGACATATCCTTCTGAATCTCCTCTCAGCAGAAAACGTTGTGATTTTCCATTTCGGCTAGTGGTTATGATTTTCATTGCCGGTGGACAAGATAATGGCTATAATGGATTATGTATTGATTTTAATTATTGTTTTGCAACAAATTTTCAACATTTAAATTTCATTTCATTACATGATTTTTGATTTACCAATTTACTTACACGATCTACGGAATGTTGTAAAACACAGTATAAAACCGGTTGATCTTTGGCTTGTGATGGTGAGTGGAATTCCTTATTGTCGGGTATACAGCTAAAATGAAAAATGGAATAGGTCTTTTAAAGTGGGAGAGAGAAAGAGTTCGGAGGTGCTCAAAACTGTTACACGTATGAATGAAATTGTAACAAAAATGTAATTGAACATGAAGCATTCCAAGCAAGCGAAAAATATAATAATCAAATTGTCAATCAAAATATGTAATTGAAAATATGCATGTATAATAGAATGTATTTTTTTTGTTACACGGAAAAATAGTCAATAGTTAACAACATCAAAACACAAACGATTTAATGTATGCTAACCTAACGGTTGGATTTTTTCCAGGCAGAAAGCTAAAAATGAAAAATGTTCAAAAAAGAGTTTTTTTTTTTGTTATTTCTAAACAACTCAAAAGTTTGTTTCCATATCAGGTTTTTCAGAAATTACTCGGTAATAATTTTTTTTAAGTTTCAAAATAATGACTCGAAAGCATCTAAAGCAATTAAAAAAAACTTGATGTGATTGATAGGAAAATCGATGATAAAAAAAGAAATAATGTAAAGTTAAAATACAATCCATTGGAAAAAGTTACGAAAATGAAACCAAATCATGAATAAAACAAAATGCTTGAATGATAAATTTGAAATGAAAATGAAACGTAAAATCGGCTTTGACATGGTATGATATGAATGTTAATTTTGATAGTGATCACTTACTTTGCGGGCAGTCTATACAAATAACCTTTGCCCTCGTCTGACCACAGGATGACACGATCATGTGCTAGAAAATCGCCACCCAACCATCGTTCACCCGATGGCGAAATGACGCTGCAAAGTACAGTAAAATCGCCAGCATCATAGATTTGCCAATATTTTGTGCAAACAATTAAAACGGTTCGTTGATTTTGTGTACAACAATTCAAACTGATCGCATTCAAGCAGCGAATTTGTTTCGATTCATTCTCGTAAATTGGATCCGAATATTTGTTTTCGTTTCCCAGCAACGTCCACACTTTTACAGTACCCGTGGTAGTGATTGCAAGAACAACATCATCCTTGCGTTTCGATGGCCGTAACACCTGTTTTGACCGGTCAACAACGTAATTGTTTGCAATAAATATGTGACATTTTGACATTGTAAATTATATAAAACAATGTAAAAACTTACGTGTAATGCAGAAATCCAATCTGGTTTCACTTTTGAACTCAACGAGAATATAATTTCCAAACTGAATGGATCCATAACAAGAATTTCTGCATAGTAACCATTACAGAAAAGTCGAATATCATCACAATTGGACATGTGATAGGCCTAACATAAAACATCATTGTTATTGATAACACAATTTAATTTCCAATTTTGATAATATTACCTGAATGCTTGTATGAACTTGTGGCAATTTAACATTTTCTTTGCATTTGCCATCAACCAAATCCCATGTGCACATTTCACCATTTTCAGAGGAACTGACCAAGAAATTATTGTCAAGTACGATTGATGCGCGTGACAAGCACAAAACTGGAGCTGTGTGTCCAACGAGCAAGCATCGTGGTGTCATTTTTAAAGTATCTGGATTCACTTTCCTACAATTATTTGTATGTCAATTAATTAGAATCAATTCCAATTGGATTCGATGAAATCAATCGATGTGAAATATAGTGCCGAATGTTTTGACCTTGGCTCAATAATGTTTGCTGGTGAAAAATAATAGTGATAATAATTACCATAGGCATATTTGTCCATCGTAACAACCAGTGGCCAGTGTTTTAAGATCTCTGGATAGAAAAACGCTGGACACACAATGGGTTGGTTCGTATGGCCCCCATAGTACAACAGGTACAACCAAATTTGTACTCGCCATTTCTTCGTGTCTGAATTTGAATTTTTGACTCAAAAAAATCGATAATTGTTATGTGTTCGATTGAATTTTTAAACTGTTTGTGTTTAAATAAGAAACGTTTAAAAAGGTCTCGTGATCACAATATTCAATTAAAACTCATGGTTCATTCTATTGACCCATTCGACAAACACTGGATGCTTCTCTATTCTTTTAATACTGATATTCAAATGATAGCAAACGATTTTTAGTAAACAATTACGTTCAAAATATTCATGATAAGAATAAGAGAACTTGGTGTAATTTTGGTGATATTGATTTCCATTCAATCTAAATTTACAACTTATTCATTTAATATTTGGTATAAGTCGAGATAAAATATCATTTATCCACAACATAAAACTCCTTTAACACAAACAAAATACAATTTTCAAAATTTTATTATTTTGATACCAATTTTACACACAAATCTTTGCCATATTGAATTTTCTCATTATTCATATGATTTTGACAGCTTTTGTCAAATGAAATGAAAAAAAAAAATAATTGAAGTACGTATCGAACCTTGGCTAACATAACCGTGCATGCGCTTGTATTTGTGTATTTGCCTTCGACTGATAACACTTTTCTAGACACATTGACAGCAGAGTAACCTAATGGCACTTTTTGAAATCAACGACATTGTTGCAACTGTCATTAGTTATTTTGTTTATTTTTGATACAAATTTGCGCTTCATTTTCGTACGATAGATTGAACGCAAGAGGTGGATGTTGCCATTTTTCAACTTCAAATATTTGGCCCCTTTTTTCAGTTGACTCAGCAGTAAACCAGTCATGACCGAAAATCGTTTGGACGAGCAGACACGAAATGTTCTCATTGAATTGGTGAAAACCCGCCCCATACTTTTCAATGATTACTCAGATCGTTCCGCGGCCGAATTGCGTGATGAACGTCAAAAATGTTGGGATGAAGTTGGTGAAAAACTGAATTGGTCTGGTACGTATAACAAACTTTTTTTTTGTGTTATTTTATTTTCTACGCTTGTATTGGATTTTGCGATCATAAACGTTTTCATTATCTAGGTGATGTTTGCAAAACCAAATTCACTACATTGAAAAACAACTACTTCAAAAATCTGAGGAATGATGCAGTTGGTCCGGATATGAGACGCCGTTTAGACTTTTTAGACGAGGTATATTATTATTGGATATAGATTGTTTAAATATATTGTACAATATTTACTATAAATTGATTTAGTTGGCGCCATGGAATCGTGTTCAAGTTGAAAAACCGGCCCGCATAAGCCAGCGACGCGCAACAAAACGATTCCGGCAAGACTATAACGAGTAAGTCTTTAAATAATTTTTCAATCGCTCAAATGTAATTTTTTATGAATAAATTTTCAACACAGCGATTCCGATCAAACAATTTTGATGAACACATCGACGACATCGGTGATGCCAGATTTACCAGTAGCCTTCAAGCAAAGTAAAAATGATGACAAAAAAACCTCTGGTGAACAATATGGTCAGTCCGCTGAAATGCCAATGTCACCATGGGCACAGCCGTCATACACCAATAATAATGACGTTGATGATCTGAATACATTCTTCAGAAACATGGAACAAACTGCACGCAAATTCAATGCAAGACTTCAAGTCAAAGTGAAGCGCATGATATCGGACATCATCTATGATGCCGAAGAACAATGGATCAATACAAATTCATCGGCCTAAATTAACAAATACTCGTTTTTATGTCTAAGATATTTTTTATAACTATCGACTACATTCATCTCTGTTTAATTAATGTAATGCCAAAACTTCAATTATTATTGAAGTAACAAATGTGTCAATTGATACGAATAAATAAATGAATAATTTATTTTTATTACTTTATTGATCGTGTCTGTTGTAATTTAAAACGTTTTTCATTAAATACAATTCATATCTATGTATATCAACAACATGCGTGAAGTTGGCTTCACTTTCTGTATAATTTCGACGTTTTGACATTCAAGTGAAATATTCGCATATTTGAACATATTCAAATGTCAAGTAACACATGTATACTGAAGTTTTTTTTTTAATATTAAATCGCTAATTCAGTTGTTTATGGTGAAATAGGCAAAAAGAATCAGAGATGTCTTATTTATTAAACGCATTGAGTATAACATCCAAAAGAAATGTTTTCTCTATAAATGTAGTGAAACGAACATACAGAACCAAAAAGAAGGAACATTCAAGCCTTATTAAAGTGGGAGTGATTGGGTCCGGTTCGTTTGGCGATCCAGCTTCTTTGCTAGTTAAAACTTGTGACAACTTTGCGTAAGCTTTTGTTTTTTAATTTTTGTATACCAAAAACAAACCGAGTATAATTGATGTGTTGGAATTCTTTTAGAAATGTATTCAACTGTGGTGAGGGAACGTTTCGTATCATGTATTCTAGATCAAATCGTTTCCGCTATTTATCGAATGTATTTTTAACAAGTGATCGCTGGGAACGAGTCGGAGGATTGCCATCATTAGCACGAGCAGTTCACGACCGAAATTTACTATTTCCAACAATTCATGGGCCACCAAACGTTGAAAATTATCTACGTAAATTTGCTGAGCTTACCGATCTTGATCCAGATGATGCAATGACAGAGCAAACATTTTGTCGTAAGCCATATTACTTTGACTCTTATTTGGAAGTCGATTATGTCGATTTACATCGTGAAAATGCGCCAGCTTCAGAGCAAACAAATGTTATGGCGTTTGTTTGTAGAGTCAGACCACGTAAAGGAACTGTTATTGTGGGAAAATTCACCGAAAACAATATTCCAAATGATTACATTAAAACCATAAATAATGGCTTGGATGTCACTCTGCCCGATGGAAGAATTATTTTGGCAAAAGATTATTTATCGCCGAGCTTTTATGGCGCGAATTTTTTGAGTAAGTTCAAGTATTTTCATTATGACAAAAAATATCACTCGGTTCGTGACAGTTTAGCACTCAAGATATAATGATTTGTTTTCTTTTAGTAATCGAAATACCTACAAAAGAGTATTTGCACAATTTGGAGCGGAATGATTTATTGAATGAACATTTGAATGAAATAAATGCAAACGTGGGAATGGAATTTGTGGCACATTTTTCATCAAACGATATCATTCAAACACCCGAATACCAACAGTTTTTGCGACGCATCAATGCCAGAAAACATTTTGCCTTGAATGAGACTGCTTTGTAAGTGGTCAATTAATTCAAATTTACTTTACACACACTAAATTTTATGTTATGCATGTTTTTCTAGGTATAGCGGTTTAAAATATGCACACTTGAATCAAAATACAATGAATCAACTGGATGCCGGCATTTATCCACATCTTCGGTACCTATATAACACACACACACACACACACACAAATAATTCGAGAATGAATGTAATAACACCGCCATATAAAAATTGAGTTTTTTTTTGTATGGCGGTGTTATAATTTTATGAAATCTCAAGCGAAGCATTCCATTCATTAATACATAATAATTTTTACCATTTGTTTTAGTTCAAAGTATACTAAAGATCATCCATTATATCGGCATATGAATAATGAGAATAATGATATTTGCATAAGTGATCCAATTCAAATTGAACCAACGATAACTGGCACTTTATATCTGTTCTCGGTTAATGGAAATATGGGCCCACTGGAGGAAACAAAAGATGACGAAGACGCTGTTGAAGACAGTAGTAGTGAAGATGATGTAGCTGACCAAGATACTACAATAGAAATGGCCACTACACGAACCAATGCTTTTCCAAAAGTAATATTTTTTGGTACAGGCTCTTCATTTCCAGGTGTTACAAAGACAGTAACCTCAATTTTAGTACATACTGCGTAAGTTCACCTGTTCTTTATAATATGAAAAACCATCTTACATTAAATTGCTTTGCTTTCTTTCTTTCTTTTTTTTAAACCATAGACCAGATACATCGATTTTGCTTGATTGTGGCGAAGGAACCGTTGGTCAAATATGTCGATTTTATGGTAGTCAAACTGAAGAAATTATTAAAAACATAAAAGCACTGCATATAACCCACATGCATGGCGATCATCATATGGGAGTTATGGACTTTATTCGTATGCGACAAAAGTATATGCCAGAAAATCGAAATCCACTATTGTTAATGGCACCAAAAGATGAATTCGGTGCGTTGCTCAACTTCTATGAAGAAAATTTTGGCAATGTTCTATGTGAATTTATGATGATCGACAATAAAGATTTGGTAAGTGAAATTGCGCCAATAAATTGATATTTGGTACTAAACATTGATGACCATTTCAGATAAATTCTAGCCTAACCGATGAACAAAAAGCAATACTCAAGATTAATGACTTGAAAACATGTCGAGTGGAGCATATAGAAAATTCCTATGCGATTTGCATAAAATCAAATATTTTACCAGAAAATATGGAAGAATTTAAGCTCACATTTAGCGGTGATACAATACCATGTGATGCTTTGGTTGAGCTCGGCAAAAATTCAACATTGCTAATACATGAGGCGACCCTAGAAGATACATTAGCCAGCAGTGCTGCGATGAAAAAACATAGTACAATATCGCAGGCAATTGAACAATCCGAAAAAATGAATGCCAAATACACAATATTGACACATTTCAGCCAGCGGTACCGGTTGCTACCGCCAATAAATAGAGAACTTATGGAAAACAAAAATATCGGCATTGCTTTTGATAATATGGAAATTGTTCCAGACGATTTAAGTAAATTAAATGATATATATTTTAAACTTACCGAAAAATATGCCGAAGAATTAGTTCGAATGGAAGCGAGATCAAAGAGATACGCACAGCGAAGTGATTTTAATTCATTCACTTAGTTAAACAAAATAGATATAGAAAATATATATGTTCAATGTAATGAATAAAATTTAAAAACAAAACCTACCGTTTTATTTGGATATATTTTTACTTAATTTGCAGTTGAAGGCTTATTGGGAACTAAAAAGCAAGCAAACATGTTTTTTTATTCATAAAATATTGTGATCAATATCATCGAATTGAAGCGAAAAAGAGAAAAATTACATGATGGTGAATAATAATCAAGCGATGGCCATACTCTCAATAAAAAAAATGGCAAAAAACCACAACAATTAAACGGCAACAGCAATAACAAGTATTTATGTCCAAATTTTGGCGTTAGATTTCTGCGACATTGATAACAGTAGCTCGTCAATAATAATTATTGAATTTTTAAATGTTGACTCATGCAAACAAAATGTTTGAAAAATAAATACTTATTAATATCTCATAAAAATAGCCAATTTGTAATGTTTATTTTCAGATGCATAGCATATAATTGTTCACAATCACATCAATATATTATCTATTGCATACTCGATCTAATTACATTGACGGTTGCAAATATGGTGCATCATCAATCACAGTCGAGTGGCCATCACATTCAATTACCCAGGCATGACATTGATTTGCATTTATATTTTTTAATTTTGTGATTGATTTTAATTGATTGATTTTGTTTACAGCAGCAGTGGCAATAATGCCTTTGCTTCTTTGCTCCCAAATAAATCGCCACTGCATCATTCGACATCGGTGAATACGACATCGAAGAATTTACTATCAGGAACATCACAACTGAGCGGATCGAGCAAAAATAGCATAGTCAATACTGGTTCAAATATTATGGGAACGGCCACAACATCACCATCTACTAAGGACTTGATTAATTTCCAGGATCAAATGAAAAAGAATCGCCTGCCATCCAAACCAAGTGATAACTTTGACAGTAGCACTAATTCGTTAATGAATCCAAATCAAATGCGGAACATGCAATCGTCAGCTGTTTCATCGAATCAAAGTTCACAAGCGGCACCACTCTGAAGATGAAATAATGGACGATTGCAAATGAAGTATACTTTTCGTTTACTTTTATGCAGACCTTTTCTAAAGAACTTTCCTCCGATAACAACGGTTCAGTGTTCTGGGCATGATCACACTTCACACCCCCTTACGCTGCAATTCTGTGTAATGTGCGTGAAAAATAATCAGTGTTTTCAATTCAATGTCTATCGATTTGTGAATTAATGGCGGTTCAAAATGACTAGGTAGTAAGATCTTCTCAAGATCAACAAAAAAATATTCAACGGTGCATGGAAAAGGCGCTTAAGATCAACAAAATTCATGTGAAAAAAATAAAAAAATAAATAAACTATTGATCAGTTATGGATCCCATTGGATCGAATGGATGTAAAAACAAAAACAAAACTAATTCAGTCACTATCATGTAGAAAGCCAGTTCATTTTATAGTTCATAAATTCATCGCATCTCATCGTGTTCGATGAATCATTCGTATTCAATTTGAAACTTCAATTCAGCAAATTTATCATCAAAAACTCATACAGAATTCTCATTGTTCAATTCATCGTTTTAATGCACTTTTATCAATATCAAAAAAAGACCTTCATATTATACAGGGTGCCTCAAATAATAGGCTCGTTAGAAAAATTTTAAAATTTCAAAAACCCTTTGGGGGGGTCGATTTCCCCTAAAAATGAGTATCTTCCCAAATCGATCAAAATAAAATGAAAAATAAGTTTGAATATTTATCCATTTATGGTTGCCATGTGTTCTAGGGATCTCCCTCTACAAGATAAACCCATTTGTAGGTCGATCAAAATGCAAGGGGGGAGGGGGAGGGGTCATGGACAATAATTTCTTTCTTCTTAATTTTTTTCAAAATTGCGATATGAAAATCAATTTTTTTTTCTTCTATCATATTGCTAGAGTCCATCCCTACAAAATAAAATAGTTTTTAGAAAAATTCATTTTGATTTGAGCCGGCCCGAGGCCGATTTGTTGGCCATCATGATGATTTTTGACCTATTTTTTCATATTTTTGAAATTTTTGTATGAAAGTAGGTCCGGTGACGCCTATTTTTCTTACTTTTATTGGATTCTGCGCAAAATTTCCCATAAGATAGGCCAGTTTAAACATCCCAAAAAATTTTTTTTCGACGACATGAGGCCCATCGGTTGGTCGTCGGATCGATTTTTTCACACTCCGTTTGCGTCCCAAATATTATTAAATAATTATTAAAACAGTGAAAATAAAAATATTTTAATTTTTTACATTTTTAAAAATAAAAATGCTTTGTTTTGTTTTGTAGTTTCCGGTAGTTTCGTGAGATTTACTGCACAATATTCAAAAATATTAAATTAATAAAAAATGAAGTGGTTGACATAACCTTACTTTCGTTTTAATAATTATTTGATCGGTTTATCATGATTGTGACACAAAAATGAGGTTATGTCAACCAATTCATTTTTATTAATTTAATATTTTTGAATGTTGTGCACAAAGATTTTTTATTTTCAAAAATGTAAAAAATTAACATCTATTTATTTCTACTGTTTTATTTTAACAGTTTAACGCAGTTTAATCGATTCATTATGATTTTGCCAAACCGTGACGGCCATATTGTCACAAACGTCAATTAGTACTCGGAATACGCATTAGAGGTGTTGTTAGCTACGGGCATGATCAGGCTTCGATGTGTTCCTATGGAAATACCCACCACGCTAGCGAATATGTCGAATTTTGGGTAATCATTTTTACTGTCTTTAATTAGCTGTGCTGCCTCTGCAAAATGGCCACAATCGGCTAGTGCAATGAGCCGAATAAACACTGGTGTAAAATGTGATTGTTTTGTGGATTCTAAAATCTCTAACGCAGTTTTTGGCTGTCCTAAATTTATCGCCAACATTCCCAAATATGTTCCACTTTGAAATAGTTGTTTCTCTTTGTCCAATTTATTCCATAATTGCAGGCTATATTTTAAATGCTCTTCAGTATTCTGTAATCTTTCTCGTTATTTATCTTTCTTTGAAATCTTACCTAGGGGCTTAATTCAAAATTTTCAACGACTGAATTCTATAATAATATCTAAATTAACTGAATTTTTCTGCAAACGAATGACGGCGATTTCATTCAAATATGTGAGATAGTGGTGAATAGTTTCTGCTGGCAATTACTGCAATATTTATATTTTGTGTAACAAAATTGTAAATGTTTTTTATATCTTTTTTAAAAAAATAATTTTATTTTCAATTTTGAGCGATTTTCTATCGAAAACAATCGGAAATATTGAAAAAATAATAAATTAAAAAATATTGCGGTTATCATAACCTCACTTTATTAATTTGACACATTTCATTCTATTCACACGAATTCACCGAACCAGACAATATATTTAGCTGTCGTCATCTGGATATTACAGCTCATCTGGATATCGTCAGCAGATGATACGACGTGAAAACAATAGAAGTGATTGTTATAGGTATATAAGCTTGTTATAAACTGGTATTACTATAACAATCACTTCTATTGTTTTCACTTCTCATCATCTGCTGACGATATCCAGATGAGCTGAAATATCCAGATGACGGCAGCTAAATATATTGTCTGCACCGAACTCATCAATAACCACTCGATTCAAAAGTGTGAATTTACGTGAATTCCTGTGAATTTTTTTGCCGTATTAAGCCCCTAGAATCTTACCAACTTATAACATGCAGCAAACGCAAGACAAGTTCATTTGAGCGGATGATTTTTTGTGCTTTTTTTCTTGTTTTTCTATCTTCATTTTTATAATGTGAAACACATCGCCGTACATTCCGTTGTCGAACAGAAGGTCCAATAAAACCACTTGTAAATGAGTATTTTAACTCCAAAAACTATTGACAATATTTTACACGATTTTTTTTATCGTTTCATCAATGATTAGCTATTGTGCCAACGAATCAAATAAGATGCCTTTTTTCTGGCGGAGAGCTGGGAATTAAAAATTACGAATTGGTTCGAAACAAGTCGGAGACTACACTGAGTCTAATATTTTTGGTAGACAAAATTTAGCATGGCACACTCCACTCACAAGCCATTCTTATATAAATCCTATGTCAATGGAGAGTTTCTCTGCTTACTTTGATTGTTATTTTGTCTATCAAAAAAATTAGATTCACTGTATGTAAAAAATTTCGTCTAAATATGATTCGTGGATCAAGATTGCAATTTTACAAAGTATGAAACTGAACTAAACAATTTGCTTCACGTTGTCGACAAGAGTGAAAACGATATGATTATTCTGAAAGAAGCATTGAACAGTTGAACACATTAATTGAAAAACAAAGAAATTTACAAAATCATTGATCTTAAACGATTACATATGTTGTTGTTGTGCGCGTATTGGGGACGACATAATACGTATAAGAAACTGACTTTTGCGTCACTTTCTGCGTTTTCTCCTGTTGGATTGGGCTCGGCTGATACAAGAGTGTTTTTATCCTCATCTTTTGACGTGCTATTAGTTCCATTTATGCCTTAATAGACAATATTTTTGATATGAAAACATAATTTTAATTAAATATTATATTTAAAAAATTAATTCATGTAAATTCATCTAGATCAGAGAATATCACATCACGATACTATCGGCATGAAATACTCACCACAATGGACTTGCAACATAGGCAAAAAAAGAAAACAAAATATTAACATATCCAGACCAAATGTTTGATGTCCGATTGGAAATTAATTTTTCAAATTTAAATTTTCAGGCGGCCTAGTTTTAAATATTACTGCCAAACTTTCAGCCGGAGTTTTAGCTGGTGCAATAGCTCAATCCTTTTCGTTCCCTTGAAAATTGTCAGTTGCATTTCGAAAATTCAAAATAATAATTCTACACATATGTAAAGAAATATAAATGCAATAAATGACGTATCAAAGTGTTCTTCTGCAGAGTTTTAAATTAAATTATGCAAATCTCTTTCCGAATAAAATGTTTATTTTTTTATTTGAGCGTAAATGAACAAATTAATTCTTAGATTTTCAATTTAAAACTTAATGTGTTGGGTTGTGTCATACTCGATCTAGTTTACATTGACAGTTGCAAATGTTCTTCAAATCATTTATGGACATAACCACCATCTGTGTCGCGACGATGTAACTAGTAAAAGTTTCACATTCAACGGCGAAATTAACAATAAAAACAATTTTATCTATGCAGAAATCGCAATCATTTTATTTGATTCTTTCATTTATGCGGCGTCAATCACAAATTTGTTTGTTGATATCTAATTTTAGCGTTTTTTTAAATGTCTTTTGATTAGCATTGATTAGAGGAAAATAAACTAAATGAGTGTGCTGTTCGAAGCTATTTCAAACGAACGAACTTAAAAATGTATACCAAGATTCATCACTAGAACTATACTGATTCATTTAAATGGGCTATTCTAATTGATAGACCATAAAATCGGATCATTTATAAAATAATTTAGCTAAGATTCGCGTGTTTTAATTGTTCATTGGTTGCAGTTGGTTGTTTGCTAAATCATCTATCGGTTTCATTTTCCGTGCTGTTTTCAGTGCTATTGGATTGTGTTGATGGTTCTTCGGATGCTTCGCCTACTTGTTGTGTATCAATAATAACATCATCGTTAACAATATTGGCCATTGCCAATTTATTTTTGCGTCTCATTTCTGCCAATTGTTTGCGTTGAGCTTCACGCTTTTGTGCAGCCACAAGGGCAGCTGCTGATTTTTTCGTTGTGCCAGATGGTGACTGGGCCGTTGATGTTGTACCTGATTTTAATGAGGTTGTCAATGGTCGCTTCGTTTGCTTTGGTCCTTGTGGTCGCTTTGCTTTGGCTTGAGTCAGTTTCTATAGTAAACATTTATTTGGAAATTTGTTATTACAGCTCATTCAATCAATTCAACAGTATTTACCTTCCAACCGTTAGCGCGAAGTTTATCAAGTTCAGCATAAAGATAGTCGACATTTTCCACTTGTAGTAAGACCATTTCCCAGAAACCTTGCAGATCAGCTGGAGTCGGTGGTGGCATATCACGTGTTATTTGGTTAATGTTGTCAATACACAATCCTATTGAACAAGTATTTGTTTTGAAATATTGCAAAAAATGGTATTCAAGCATTTTCATTTTACGTATGCGTAATCGCAAAAAAAGCAAGAAAGTTACCTTCAAATTGTTTAAACTTCTTTGTTGCTAGAAGTCTTGCTTTCCCAGCCGCAGATCGAATGTGACCAAGAACTTCTTCCTCAACGTCTCCTTTCTGCGAACGAAATATAAAGTATTTTATACGATTTGAAGTCCACCGCATTTTTTTGAATTGTTTGGTTATATGTTGTTTACCTCTAATAATTCATCGAGCTCTTTTTCAATAATAACGGCCAGGTTGATTAAACGGTCTCGTTCGCTTTGCACAATATTCAAATAATAAACCCCATCCTTATTATGATTACCTAAGGGGAGAATCACAAAAGAAAAGAATTAATTTAAAATAATCGACAAATAATCGACAAATGAATCGGTCAAAATAAAAGTTCGACTTGTACGAAGAGTCTATAAAAGTGGAACATGGAGTTTTTTTTACATAGTTTATTTGTTGTAATACAACAACAATTCTATGTCAAAAAAACGCTGTGTTTCACTTTTATAGACTCTGCGTACAAGTCGGATTTTTATTCTGACCCATTCAAATAATCGTATTATGATTACCATTTGCATCCATTGCTTCAACGGTTGAACCATTGGCGTTCGTTGCCATATTTGTTGTATCGCAATCATCGAAACGTTCGCCGCTGCTACTTTGATTGTTCGTTGGCTGTTGACAAATTTTTACTGAATTTTGCGGCGATTCAATTAAATAATTTACTTGTTCTGTAATATCGGTTGCCATCTGTGTATTATTTATAATATGATCTTGTTTATCGTTCGACGTAAATGTTTTCGATGTATTTTGCGTATCTAAATCGGTTGCAATCGTATTACTACTTTTTGTCGGTGATTCGATTAGTTTTTCGCGGCTATCGTTTTCAATGTCATGACTTTTATTTGAGGTTAAACAACCATTTTTAGTTGTTTCGTTTGATGCATTAAATGCTGACGACTGTTGTTGTTGTTGTTTGTGTGATTGCATGTCAAGTGTGCACCGATTCGATTTCAATTTACCGTTGTCCGCTGTACTATTTGTGTACACATGTGTGTGTGTTGTTGTCGTTATAGATGCCGGTGCTGATTGTGATGGTGATGGGGTTAACTTTGAAATGGCTACAGTACGTTTTGGTGACAATGTTGGTAACTGAGCGCGAAATTCGGGCCTTAAATGACGTAAAACCGGTAATGCTTCGTTAAGAGATTCTAGACTGATGTTTTCATCATCATCATCATGTGCAGTCCGATTGTTTGCGAAACCATTAAGATGACCATTTCGTTGAGCTTCTAAAACATATTTTGTCGATTGAAATGTGGTAGCGGTATTTGTTGAATTTTGCGATTTTTCCACAAGAACTGATGATATTGATGTTCGCATCGATGTCTCTTGATTGTCATCGGACGATTTGGGTTTTTTCGGGCTATACAAACCTTGGGTAACAGCGGCAGGCCCATAAAGTCGTTCGACACGTTGTTGAATGAAACTTTTTGCCGTTCCTTTTCCATTTGCTTCAAACTCTTGATTTACATCGCGTACCAATGACAATGATGTATTACCACTGCCATTTGTTGATGTTGATGTATGCAACATAGACCGTGCAAAATACTTGCCACAACCATTACTATTAACATTATCTATAACATCATGACTCGTTCCATTCATTTCAATGGTTTTTTGTTGCGTTGTTGTTGAATAATACCTAGAGTGATCAGAAAAATATGCAATTATATAGGAGTTTTTTTTCTTGGCAAATTCTAGGAGGAGAATCTTCTACAAAATATATCAGGACCTATCTGGCCAATTGAATAATACCGTTTATCTGGCGTTAAAATTGATTGGGTGTCCATAATGAAATTTTTGGTGTTATCATCAATTGGAACTGATGTCGGTATGTTGAGTGTGTTGCGATTGTTGTATTGAAGTGCGTATGTGATGGGTCGAATGGGTGATACCTCCCTTGATTTGTTGATGCTTTGACGAAATTTGGAATCGTATGTCGTTAGATTCGAATAACCATTTACACAACAAGCTAAGTTTAGATAACTGGGCTTCTTAACCGGTGATGTTGGCGAATTTATAGTCTGTGAAATGTTTTGCGATATTATTATTTGTGTTGATATTTTGCCCGAATTTGGATCGAGAACCGTTTTAGTTTGCTGAAGCTTTTGGCCGCTCAATGGAAATTGGCAACGTTCATGAATTCGTGATGTAAATTCACGTGTAAAATCTTTTCCAGACAATGGTGTACCAACGACGTTTAAACTACCACTCGTATCTATTGAAAATAGAAAAATAAAATATCAATTAATTAGCAAACGAAAATGCATTCATATGTAAGCAAAAGAGCAACATTGATAAGATAGAAAATGAGAGAAAGAGATACTACAAAATAACCGCTCATTTACGAGAATATGCATAAATTCAATAATACGTCTAAATGATAAAGTAAAGTCATAACCAAATCCGCTAAGATTTAGAAAGCATTTAAAATGATTAGAATGAGCAAATAAATGAAACTAATACAAAATGGCAGCCACACTGCGATAGTGAGCAAAAAAAAATGAATAAGTGATTTTTCCTTAAACCAAAAAAAAAATTGATCTTAACTCTCTGTTTCCGAGAGTTTTAGGGTTTCAGTAGATGAGAAAGGAGTTGTTTTTTTTATTTAGCAAAATAACATTCTAATTTCGTAGTAAAAAAAAACACATAACGTTGAATTGACAAACGAAACGAAAATAAAAATAAAGCGAACAAGAAACACAACAAAAGTGCACACATTCATAATTGAAACGTAAAACCGTACGACTGTTTTGGGAAATGTATAATGTTTTTTTTTTTCTTGATGTCTTTTGGTTTTAACTTTAAATGTGATACCTGAAAAATCAGTTGATTCTGCATCGACATCAAGTGAACAGCTGCCTATCGAATCAACGCTTCTGTCCATTATGTTTAAATTATGAAATAAACTACAGTTATTATTATGACTGTTGTTGGTGTTTTTGTTACTCGGGCTACAATGCTTATTAGATTTACAATGGGAGTGCATTAAACAATCATTGAATTTTGATGGTGAACGATGTCGATGCTGTGGACCGATCGAAGCTGAAGCGCCACTACGTTTTCTATAATAATCGGTGTATCGATGACTTGACGCTAATGAATTGTCAGCGAATGAACCATTACGAGATAAGGTTGTCCCACAATATGGTATACAGCTACTGAAACGTGATGACGATGATTTTTTGGTTTTTTTGGTCACTCTTCTTATGCTATTTGATTTGGTTGAACGTTTTCGTATCACAGGCATGCATAAATTTTGCTGCCGATCAGCATCGTCAAAATATTTAACGGTTTGTTCCAATCGTTTATTTCGATTCAAATGTAACCAATGATAAAATGCTTTTTGTTCAATGCTATTGTCTCGTTGTGGTGTTCGATTCACGCCTAAATTTTGTTGAAGTCTTTTCCGTTGGAATCGTTCAACTAATCGATCAAAATGGTTTCGATGCGATTTTTGTTCGATACATTGATTATTTTCGGTTTCATTTAATTCGGATGATGCAACATAAATTGCATCTCCGACGGCTACGGCTTTGGTTAGTTCAGACTCTTTGTTGATGGTTTTTTTCGTTTTATGCCTGTCAAGTGGAAAGCATCCGGTGGATTTGTTTAATTGTTCAATCGATTCATATATTCCAATGTTGGTAGAATGAATAGATCGCTTTGATGCATTCAATTGGTTATTGTCCTTGGAATTGATTTTATGATTTTTACTACTGTCGGTGGATAGCAAATTTTTTGATGGTACCGGCGAAGGCGTTGTCTCAAAACGAGTTATCCCCAGCAATAATACTTGTGTATTGATGTCGTCGTTATCGGGCAGCTCACTAGATATACAGATACATGTTTAGGTAATCGTTGGTTAATTATTATTATTTACGAACAACTTGGAATTTTATCATTCAATTTAACAAAAAAAAAGAGAGAGAAATAATTTGAAAAAGTAATAAAATATAAAATTTTATTGCATCGATTTTGATGACCGTATGATTGAGTGTGGATGTGTGTGTGTGTGTGTGTGTATGTATGTGTATGCATGTGCAAAAATGTGTTTTGTACGTGCGTTTGTGTGATTTGGTGACTGACAATGGAAATTGTACAATGGCTATTGATGTAAATAAACAAAATTTTATTTTTCCGACATGGTGTTGGATTGGTATGAGCACTTGAAAAAAAGTCATTAAATTAAATGATTCTCTTGGAATAGGTGGTTGCGGACAATCGTGCAGAAGGGAAATCAAGAAAATATTAGAGTTGCGTCTTTTAAACAAGTAAACAACGTGAATTGGATAAACGCATTTAAAGGAGAAAAACAAGGCAATCGGAGTGAGAGAGAGAGAGAGAGAGAGAATACAGAGAAGGAATTATTTAAACAATAACGACAATAATATTTACACTTAGGATTTGTACAACTTCACTTTACAGCGCCACATATCTATATTTACTAGTTTCGGTAAGATACTCGTGACTCTAGGTCGTTATTTTTGTATTTCTATGTTTTTTTTTTTTAAATCTATTTTATAGTTCAACCTGTATATATCGAATCACTATTGAATCGAAGTGATAGTGCGAAACTACATAAGATAGCGTCATTGGTAACATATGCGACATTTTTTAACACTATATCGTGTATGCATTCCATTCGAATTATCAACATATTGATGAGAGTGTGGCGAAAACCTTTAACAGCTTAGCTCACCCGGCGAGGTGCTTAGGCTCAGTGCCTCACCGCTCATACAATAATTATTCAAATTATTTTCTCTGTGTAATTTATACCGTTATTCATCACATACTTGTAACCTATAGGTCCCACCCTTGACTTGTTTTATTTTTGTTATTGTTTTCTTTTTTACTATTTCATTTAATTTCATTTTCTCTACATTTTACAAGGAAAACTACAAATATGAAAGCATGTCGTATAGTTTAATGTCACACCGGCTAAAAAGTGAGCCGAAATTTTCCGTTTTTATGAAATCATTAAAATTTATGCCACTGATTGCGTCTTGTGTTCTACCTCGCCTCCTGTGAAAGGATTACGAGTGCAAATTATAACGGCCTATGTGCAATTTACGTTCATGAAAAACCTAAATACCTTTTTCAATATAAATACAAGCAATTAGAAACACCAATTTTTTTTTTCAGCATTGTAGAATTGCGCACAATTTATAAAATTCAATGTAATCGATTGAGTAAACCGCAACGCTTGTATTATTTTCCTTTTCGTTTAATTAACTAACAACTACATTTTATGTAAATAATTCAATAGAGCAAGTCTTGGATTTTGTTGCAAATGGATGCCGGAATTGTATGTGTGTACGTGTGCGTATGCAGTTGTATATGTGTTTGTCTTGTAATGAGCCTCACGTGCAAAGTAAATTTACCAAATTTTAATCAGATAAATCCAAAGCAAATAATGTGTGATTGTGTTTTTCAATGATTCGATTGAATATTAATATTCAAGAATTCTTTTGGCAGCACGGCCATAAGTATTTTGTTCGGTTTTGTTATGATAAAATTTGGTTAATATGACAGTATACATCGGTGATGAGGTTAATTCTGAATTTTGACCGTTTTGATCATCATTTTGTTTAATGAATGAATTATGTGATGATACCTTTTACTCCACCGAAACGAGAATCGATCTCGTTTGTTTAATGCCATTTTTGTTCGCGTTTAAAAAATAAAATGTAGATTTCTTGCTGCAAACTCACTTAAAAAACCGATCAAAGTATCTTAATATTCATTTGTTTACGTTTTATTTGTATTATTTTTCTCGCACAAATTTGTATTTGTCATTGATTTTTGGGGAATTATTCATGAATTGTTTTTGGTATTTTGTTTTTTTTGGTTATGATTCATGCACTCTCTTTCAATTTAAACCACCAAACAAATACACGCGACACACTGAGGTACATTGATCTATGTTCATATGATTCTTATTATATCGTGTTTTTTTTTATCGAAAAAACAAAACCGTTTCTAGGTTCTCTTTCTATCATCTCTTTTTCGCTAACAGACATACACATAGACCTATTTCCATACACTACACGAATCAGATCAGATTGTTTATGATACGCTTGATTTCATTAGCTCACTGTTACATAGTTCGTGTGTCTAATTGTTTTTGGCAAAACTAAATTGGAGAATGAAAACTTCTATCGATTGTGTACGTATGTATTTATGTGTTTTCACGGCGAGTATTCAATCAATGAAAATGTATGTACTTTATCTCTTGCTCTCACCGTAAGTATATGCACTTTGAATGTGCGTTATTTTTATCTTTTCAACAACATTTATTCCATTTTGACAGATGTTTTTCTCACTCGTTCGCCGCCTCAACGGATGGATTTTTCATTTATTTACTAGTTGTTTTGTTGTTTTTTTTTTTATTCTAGCCAGCAGATAAATGTTGGTGTGCGTGCATTTTTCACTTAGACGAAATTATCACAATATCTAGATATAGAATAAAATGGTGTGAATTTCAATTGAATTTATTTTATTTTGCGTACAGATTACTTATTATTCAAACCAAACGAAATTCTTTGCTCACAAACTTAAGCTATGCCAATGATCACAATGTTCTAGTATTCCGAACACTTCAATTATATTCGTACACTCTTTGAAGCGCCAATGAATAATTTGCGGTTCGCGTTCTATTCCTATTGACTTTTTCAATTTAGTTTAATCAACTAATACCCATGATAGCGCAATAGAGATCATTCTGCGCGGTGGAATTTAAAAGACGAGCAAAATAAAGATGGCTAAGGAGAGAGCAATTGGCAACGAAATACTGCACCGACTGGTGTTTTCATACTGAGAAATAACGATATGAAATACACTAATAATGAAAAATACACATAGACAACGGCGACAACAACAAAAACAACACACGAGAAAAAAAAAAAATATCGCTCAAAAAATTGTTGACAGTCTAGGAGCCGTACGAGCATAGCAGAGAAAAACGCAAACTGCTCGATATTGGGCCGCGCCGCTCATATATTCGTATATACGCAATTTAAAAATAAAACACATATTAGCATTCAACTTAGGTTCGATTTGTGTTGAGCGCGTCATGTATATATGAACTTTAAGGCATATTTAAATCACGAGACATATACACATCGCTAGAATATGTGAATCGGTTTATGCCTTGCACATTTATCATAACAAAAACAACAAAATATTCTCACGCAGTAGCACACACTAGACTCACTAGATGTATTGGCAGAAGAAAAAAAGAACCGAGGGCCCACCTCACATGGAATTACACATACTGATAAAAATCAAATTAGTACGAAGAAATCAAATCCAATCGCAAAAAAAAAAAACAAAGTTACCCAGTTCCAGTTTTGCATTAGTATGCCATCGCATTGATGATGTGTGACCGCATGGCTTCGTCTACGTGAAATGCAATCGCATCGCGACATTATTATTTTTGTTTTTGTTTCTGAAATCATATATGTTTGGGGTTTCTTCGGTTTACATTTATTTCACAACATAAACATACAATGGCACTATATGTTTTGGATAAAAGTGTAGCGCGGTGCAAAGTTTTGCCAATTTATTTTCCGTTTTTTTTTTCAATTCATTTTATTAAATTATATTAAATTTATGGTTTTTTTCTGTTCGAGGACTTTGCCATAAAACATGCAATGCCATTGCAGTGGGCACACAGCATAAGGCTTGACGAGAATTTAGAAAGTTCATCGTGTGGTCGGCGAAGCATACACATAAAAATTAATGCAGATATTCAACGATGACCTAAGACTATGAATCATGATTGACCATTGATCATTATTGGTTTTTATCTAATCTAAACGAAAAACCACCACACTTGCTGTATGATAATTCTTTCCATCCAAAGGTCACCATGAAATGAGTCAGGTTTTTGATATCAGCTCTTATTTTAACATACGAATCATTGAACATATATATAAAAAATACACTCTCATATTCATGCCGAACCATTTGCTAACATAGAGGTGTGTGTCGCGTGAATTATATTACGATAATGTATGTTGTGTCTGGTTTTGGTTTTGCCGTTACACCAAAATCCAAAAGACAAAACTTCCGTGCTTATTACATTTTATAGATACAATAAGTGTGTGTTCTCTTCTGGAATAAAATAACAAATATACAAAACGTATTGCATGGCTAAAAATAATTTGGACTCGTTCAAAGCATACATTCCCCAAAAAATCATCCGAAAATAGAATTTTAACTGCATTTTCGATTATTTATTTGGTGATTTTTGTGTGGCTTCTTTTTCAAGACATAGTTTAATTAGACTACATTTTACAGATGAATTTTTGGTTTCGGTTGCACGTTACTGTTGTTGCAGTTGCCAACGATAAATACCATACCGTCACAACACATGTCGGCTTTCATCTTGATGCGATGAATTTTTCTTTCGTTTTGTTATAAAAGGCATTTTGGAAGTGTCTATGTAAGTGTTGATGGGAGAGAAGAAGATACATTTGAACCGATGCAAGTTTCCATCCAAAAATAGACATATGTAGATTGTAGACGCATTTTTTGTTTATAATTTTTTTTAAACATGAAATTTCATATAAACTGCGATTTCCAATTTATACGTCATTCAATAAACCTCTAGATAAACCTTCTCAAAAGGATAGCCAAAATCATAAAACCAAATCGACAATGATTCGTATGCAATATCGAACATATGCCAACGAAACAAATTATGGAATGTTTCCTCAGAATTTCAATCATTGTTCTTTCTTTAGTGGGAAAGTAAGACTTTAACTGCAAACAGACAGATATCACCGCAATATAATGTATTGAGGTACACAAAAGAGGGTAATAAAATTGGGTGATTTGCAGAGAAAGTTCTGATTGGTATACACTTTTCAATGAAATGATGCTGTTGCCTTTATAATTTTAAAATTGCCGGCGAAAACCAAATGGACCACTTTGAATGCAGACATTTGATCAAGTTGGCGAACGTAAACAGCGGCCCAAATAAACAGGTGATCCGGCCTTTTGTTTTGCACTTGATTGCCCTCAAGTGATTTACTTTCCGTTTTTCTGTGGTTTTCATTGTTAACAGTTTTTGTTAGTACAATATACCGTTGCTTCTTTTTATTGTCTAATAATGTCAATGATAAATCTGATTTTCTTGATGGTTTTTTATTGTTCAAAATAATTGGATTTTTTCGCCACATTTAAAGCGGCTTGATCTCGATCTCTTTTAACACAAATAGCATTTGGCTAGTTTTTTTTTAATGAACAGTATCAAAAATATTAAAGAATCGACGACAAAAATATAATTTTTGTATTATTTAATATAAGATTCGTCAACTCAACCGAATCATTGTTTATCGTAAGAATTAGAAATTATGTTGTTCGTCGGTTTAAAAATCAATCAGCAATTAAATTATAAAGTAGTAAATGGTTCGGTGATTTGCTAATAAAAAAACAATATTCTTTCGTTATAAATCTCATTTCTCAAAGACAATTCCATAAATACACAGATTAGATTTCAACAGAGCGAGAGAGATTGTTCACAATAACCAATCAAATTGTGCAATGAGTTGAAACGAAAGAATTATTAAATCGGTGCTATTTGTATGTTTGTCCGTAATTTTCATTGTTCAGACAATTATTGTGATTTATGATGTCTTTACTCATTTGGCAGAATGTACAATTATTATTACGATTCGTTGACAAAGCCGGAAGTGGTTCGCTAATACGGCAAATAAAGTAGCCTTCAAATCGATATTATCGATTAAAATGTATTTTTTAGACGTCAGACAATGAAGTCACATTTTACACCTAAAAATTTGAAAAAGACATCCAAAAATTCCAAAGAATATCCAATGAATTTAGGCAAAAGTACGATGCACCAAGCCTGCGAAGATTTTGTCTGTTGATAATAATAAAACATTGATTTATGCATGATAAAATGCAAAAGAAAACAAATATAAAACCATAAAAACATGACCTAAATAGCAGAGATTTGAAAACGGCTTCATTTTTACAAATCCAGCATCGTTTGCTGTTCACTTGTACAGACCTTTCATTTATTTACATTGCCGCATCTTTCATGTCACATACCACAAAACTCAATTACAGTAAATTGAATAAAAATAGTGCTTTCAAAGCGCAAGAAAAAAAGAGAGCAGCAATTGGCTGTAAAATGCAGAAGAAACGCCAAATAGGCGTTAAAGAAATATTCTGTGTTTTTTCTTCGGTTATTTAAAGTGGTTTTTGTTGTATTAAGTGTCGGCGAGAAGGAAGATTTCGTGATCGCATTTTAAATGTTGTACCATGCCTTTTTCTCATCTTTTATTCGTTAACCACAATTACAGCTATTAATTCTATCCAACAGTTCTATATAGTGCATCAATTGCATCCAAAACAGGAACGATCAAAAAGTGTATGATATTCAGTCTAACAGGGTACATTAACTCTACATTTTTGTAAATAAAACATTTGTGCTGTATACGAAATAAATGTCGATGGAGAAATTGACTTGAAATTGATATTCAGCAGTAACTTCTAGTATGCTCCAATTTAACATATTAATAATTGGTATGGGATAAACCCCCTGTATTCAGTTTATCTTCTTCGCTTAAATTTTTTTCTTTTGAAAGTAATTTACGCTTTTGGTGTGTGGCCACCATCATACAATTTCTTTCATTTATTAACAGTCGTGTTCATACAACACGACTCATTGCTGTGGGTGTTGATTCAAACGAAGTTTTAAAATTTAACGTTGAAT